TAATTTTACCATGATGTGTTTATTTTTTTTTTTATTTTTTTTTTTATTTTTTTTTTTTTTTTTTGTGTCTGTCACTACTTTTTCTCAGCTCTCACTGGACCGATTTCTTTTAACAATACGTCAAAAGATCACAAATTGTATCTAGTTGAAGACATTACCCTTAAAAATTTAAAAATTTTCCCTCGTTCCCCGCAAATGGGGGAAATATCCAAAAAAATTACAAATTTAAAAATCGACAAATTTTGTCATTTTTTTCACTTTTTTTTCTTAAAACTTCCATAACTTTTTCAAAAATCAACAAATCAACATAATTTTTTTTTAAACTAAAACCTTAGATATTTTCCTTTCATTTGATATAATTTTTTTGAAAATTTAACACTTAACCTGCTCATGGGGGGGGATTTAAAATTGCAACTTTTTTACAAAAACTAACTTTTTCAACTTAATTTTTGAAAATGTTCCGGAAATACTGCGTCCTTTAAACATATATCAAATTAAAGCTTATTTTATGTACTATAAAATGAAAAAAAAAAATTTGTCCCGACACTTTATCTTCTGCATGTAAACGGTTGCCGTAGTTAAAAAAACACTATTTTTGTGTTAAAATTTTCGATTTTCAATTTTTAATTTTCAACTTAAAAATGCTATAACTTTTCGAAAAATGCATGTATCAGCACAATTTTTTTTTTTCTAAATACATTATAAGTACATCTTCCATTTGACATACTTTTTATTAAAATTAGACAATTTCCCCTTATATAGGGGGGGTTCAAACTTTGAAACATTGTATAAAAAATAGAACTTTTTCAACTGAACTTTTGAAAATGTTCCGGAAATACTGCGTCCTTTAAACATATATCAAATTAAAGCTTTTTTTATGTACTATAAAATGAAAAAAAAAAATTTGTCCCGACACCTTATCTTCTATGTGCAAATGGCTGTCGAAATTATAAAAAAAATGTAATATTTGCGATAAAAATCACCTTTTATAACGATGTTTTTTGTACTTAAAACTGCCATAACTTTTTCAAATATTAACTAATCAAAATAATATTTCTTTATATTGAAACCTTAGGTAATTTTCTTTCATTTGATATCATTTTTTTTTGAAAATCTAACACTTATTCTGCTCACAGGGGGGATTTAAAATAGCAACTTTTTTACAAAAACTAACTTTTTCAACTTAATTTTTGAAAATGTTCCGGAAATACTGCGTCCTTTAAACATATATCAAATTAAAGCTTATTTTATGTACTACTAAATGAAAAAAAAAAATTTGTCCCGACGACCTATCTTCTATGCGCAAAAGGCTACCGTATTTAAAAATATGCTATTTTTTATTAAAATTCTAGGTTTTGTATTTTATTTTATTTTAAAATATTTTATTAGGGGAATAAACTGACTTTCATGAATATTATATAATTTCATTGACATAGAATAAAGTTCATAAGACATATGATATTATACTTATTAACATTTTTTACTTTTTTAAAGTCGAAAAAGTAATTTTTAAATTTGAGTTAGCTTAAATAGCCAATTTTATCATGCAACAAAAATCAACGAATAGTTGCCGAATGGGTAACACCTTGATCTTTAACGCCTAGGGTACGAGGTTCAAATCCGTTTGTGGCTTCTAAAATTTTGCATTTTTTTTTTGAGTTAGAATAGAATTTTCAAATCATTTGATATTTATCTCATTTAGATTCAATAATTTCAATAAATATAAAGGATCTTATCACTATAGTCTCCCCTCGTGAGAAGAAATTGATATTCATGTTAATATTATTTTACTATGTGGTTCTTTTTCTGGCTACGATTTATTTTGCCAACCCTCACTAGACCTACTTTTTTCAACGATACGTCAAATGATTCATTTAAGTTTATGATATTTAAGTTAATGATTAGTTTAAGTTATTACTCTTAAAAATCAAAAAAATATTCCTTATTCAAATAAAAAGTAGCTTAACTAGATTTGTCCATACAAACAATTAAAATCATTAATTTTTAATATTCTTAAATTATTTATTGTCGAATTAAATTTGATATGATAAAAGTATTCAACTACAAAAGTAAATAATTTTACTTTATAATTTATTAATTTTTTAACTCTATTTCTGTGTGCTACTACCAGTCTATAATATGCCAAATTTTTTAGTAATATTTTGCTATATAAATCATAAATTTAAAAAAAAAATGATTTTTAGTTTCACCTGAAGTTAACGATGGAGTTTTACAATTATAATTATATTTTTGATAATATGCTCAATTGAGTAAATCTTTTTAACTACTTTGGTTTGATTGGTTCATTTAATTAAAGTAAATTATTAAAATTAATTAAGTTCTGAATATTTCAATTGCAGAATTTTTTTAAACACCAAAAGTTATTAGGATATGATTACTATTCTTTCTATTTCAGTTATCTATTACGATAAAAATGTAAAAAAATCGAATTTTTCTGACAAATGTACTGTAATTAGTAATTATAAAATTTCCAGATTGCATATTAATCTTAAAAATTTCATTTTTTTCAATTTAATAATGTCAATTTCAAACTTGCAAGTTGAACTATAAGTTATGGTAACAAATTCATTTTTTAGCTTCGATGCGAAGCTGAGAAGGTATTTTTCATTAAAACTTTCACTTTAAAAGACAATAAAAAATAGGTTCAAAATGATTACCTTTAACATATTAAAAATCAAAATCAGTATTAATTTAATACAATTTTTTTTGTTCTTAATTATTTTTTTTTATATGTAAATACTTATTTTTTAATAATAAGTAATAATATTAAAACTTAGAAGTAATAGAAAAAGTTTAATTGCACATTTGAAAACATCACGAAAAGTTTATTTAGAAAAGTATATTTTTTTTCTGATGAAAGTTCCTTTTGTTTAGTGTATTTATTCATAAGTAACAAAATTTTTTTATTAAAAAGTATTGCATAAATTCCTTTAAATTTGTATACGCATTAAAAGTATATGAATATACAACTCCTTTTTATTTTTATAATATCTCCGTAAAAATTACAATATTATATTATTGAATACCACTTTCATACTCAATTTAATTACTGTAATTATTATGTATTCATATATTATAGTTATAAATCGGGGTAAAATTAAGGGAATAAGTGTTATTGTTGTTTTTGAAATAATCTACCAATTTCATTTTTTTCTATTTAATAATATTTATTTCAAACTTGCAAGTTGAGTTAAAAGTTATGGTAATAAATTCATTTTTTTTTTATTAAAACTTTCACTTTAAAGAACAAAAAGAAGTAGGTTCAAAATGATTACTTTTAACATATTAAAAATCAATAATAATTTGAAAATAATTAATTATAAAAATTATATAATATATAATTAAAATAATTACTAATCTGGATATAATTAAGGAAATAGGAGTTGATGTTGGGTTGGGTTGGTTACATTTTTAACTTTATAATGCTATAACTCATTGAAAAGTGTACGAATCAACACAATTTTTTTATGAGAAATAATATTTTTTAATAATCCCTTTTTCATTCGACATACTTTATCTTAATCAGGGTATTAATAAGAAACTAGCAGATAATGTAGCTTTTGTAATTATCCACCAATTTCTTAGAATTAAACACTATCTACTGATTTGCATCGAAGCGTTTCTTATGATAGTGATTTTAATCACTGTCAGATTAAATCTATACTGGACCCAACTATGCAACATCCCCACTATGCCGCGACCCCACTGTGCTGGGTTTTTTTTTTAATTATTTTTTCATTGATTATTAAACGTATGAATCAGATTTTACCTATAATGTATGTAAAACATTGTCGTTTGTATTTGTGTGATTGATGTGGTGTATTCTGGAAATCAAATCGATAAGCAGTGTGTATTATGCATTGTAAAAAACGATTCCAAGCATTTAGTATTATTATTTGTGATCATGTTTGTTATCGATTACCAATACATTTTTCTAAAAAATAATCCCACGATATAGTTTTCAAACTATACTCGAATCGAATTACTTCCAATTTCTTTGTTTTAATCACTCGTGAATAGTATTAATGGAGTTTTTATTTTTCTCACTATAAAGTGAACTTAAATGCCACTTTTGGCCATTTGATCGATGCCCCTTCAGTCGTGAGGCTTCGCGCAGAAGCCGTTTCCGCCGGTCTTAACCTTTTCCGAGTATTGGATTTCAACTCGTGATAAAGGCGAGCGGGTTCTCGACTCACGAATCTATGACAAGTAAGACGGTCGCACGCGTTTTCAATTACTTTCGGATTACTTTCGGTTCGTAGTGTTCTATTAAAAACAACGACGACTCACTTCCTCTTATATAATCGCAACAATAAGTAAATGTATAAAATGCGCGTTAATAATTTCACCTTAAAAAGAAAAATGTGGCTATTAATCGGAGAAATTAGCGGTTCTTCTACTCTTCTAGGATTGAATGTAAAAGTCTACTTTAATGTAAACGGCGGCGGTAAATCGGACTGATGAAAATGTCCAACTCTTCTGTTTGTTTACGTACTTGAATTTAACCGTTGGACGATTCGATAATTATCTAGGAACGCATGCAGCTACTCGATCCTCAGCATAGTTTGGTCGTTATCGTATTTAATTATGCAAAATCTAGTTCAATGTTTAATTACAATTGGTTATTAATCGTTAAATGATAATTGCGATTACACGTTTTTATCGTACTTAAAAACGATTTGATGTTCATAACGACGTGTTGTGAAATAGTTTCCAACATAGTTCTATTTACATTTACATTTAGTTGGTACCGCTGGATACGCTCATCGCTACATCGGCACCACAATTACTCGATGAATATCCGACGAACCGCTGTGATCTTTTGCAAGTAAATAATGCGTTCGAGTGGAGGCGTGTACCGATACCGCGATTGGCCAGTAGCGCCGCACCGCCCTAGTGCGCATCGTGACCGTGTCGATACCTGTGCGTTGCACGACGGTAACGATTAATCGCGTTGTTCACGTTATTAGTGTAATGACGAGTTATTAATCTCGACGGTCGCGCAGAAACAACAACAAAAAAAAAAGGCCGATACGATTATACCAAGACGGCACATTTGTCGGTTGCTCGGACAACGGCAAAAAAATCCATACTGCGTGTGTGACAACGGTAGCGCAGGCACCACAATAGTTCTTCGGCAGACTCTCCGCCACCGCATTCACCTGCGTCAAACACGCCCATTAGCGTCATCTGCCCTACCGGGCAAACGCATGGAACCCAACGAATGATTTCCGTGCTCGGTACCATAGCAAGGACGGATACCCACAGCGCGAGTATCGTGCCCACACTGCTTGTGCGTTCCTACTCTATGTCATATGTGTACACTGTTTGGCGAAAGAGGTTTCGCTCATCTGCTGGTCCGACGCACTGTCAAATGGTGATGGTGGGGAGGAAGGTGGAAGTCGCTTAAACCCGACACCGTCGTCGACGCGTTCCCCGTCGACCCTCACCGCCGCCAACGCGACCGGTATCGTGTTTCGCGCGCTCCGTGGACGCCGCCGGTCGTCCTGCGCCGCTGCTCTTCGGTAGTAACGTTCAGTCGGCCGTCGTCCCGTAATCGCGTCCGTGTCTCGTATTCAACCGGTCGATACCATAAATTCTATGACAGTAGTTGGGTTGTTTGCTTTTTTCACCGTCTTCACGTTGGTCGGTAGAAGATAACGCCAAGCTGATTTCAAAGTTTTCCAAAAGGCATAATATCGTTCACGATGCCAATAGAAACCAAACGATGATTTCAGTAGTAACAAAATTTGAATGACAAATGGAGTTAAAAAGTGAGTCTCTGGGCTTTAATTGATATATATTTCGATTTCATAATAAAATTCACTCATAACAACACTTGGACATTTACGGTAAAGTACTTCTGCCGGCAGGTTTCTTACTCTTTATAAGAAAACTGCCTTCTGTTATAAGAGTTACGTGTTCATAAACTATGCTTATTGTTTATGCGTTCGACAGATTGTATAAAATACTAATAATAAAAAAAAAAAAAGAGAAACAATAGCGCTTATTTTATTTACATAATTTAGCGCATAGGTCGATTATTATGTAAGAAAACTTTTCTGAATTATTTTACACGATATAACAAGTATCATCAGTGTAAAAGTTGTTTTTTTTTTTGGGGGGAAATTTTGAAAATTTTTACATATGTCATAATGGTCAGTGTTGTTTAATGATAACCTTTAAGGAAAGAAAACGCTGTTTTGCGTTCACGTAGACAGTTTTTTTCTATTGAACGTTATTTTCTTCGCGCCAGTCTATTTTACGCTATTATTTTTCTAAGCTACGATTTCAGCAAGTTTTTTTAATTTTGAGGCACTACTTAATGCGTTTTTATTTTGTCATAATAAATAATTGGATTAACAACTATTAACAATCAGTTGAAACGACAGTATACTTTGATAGTTGAATGAGCTCGAATTAAACGGTTAAGTCGAAGGTAAATATTTCGAAGTCTATCATCAATTTGAATAGCGTATGCAAAAACATATACGATATGTTCGATTATAAAACAAATCTCAACAATACTATAGAAATAATAGCAACTCACAAAGAAAAACATGTTGTAATAATAACTATAGTTCGCTTGTGAAGAAACCACACTTCTGTAAAAGTATTAGGGTCTCTCGTCGTGACAAATTTCAAAGTTTTTTTTATCAACCCGTTCAATTTAATGTCGAACAATTAATAAAGTCGATTATTATGCTAATCGATAAAATTGTTAATGGACACAACATACCTACCCTTCAAAAAGAGTAGCAATAGTAAGTAAGTAAAGTAGTAGTAATTTCAAACGAATAAATTCAATTTGCATTATTAGCTTAGAAATGTTGCTTTTAAAATATCATTATGGTCATAAGTATATGTTTAATAAAATCAACATTGTTCTATAAATAATGTATTAATATAATTACGCCCGTAAAAACGTTTTCGTTAAATCGATAATCGAATTATTCAACGGACTGTTTATCGATATTTGTATTGAATTGAATAAGATTTTTGATTTAGTGTAGAGTACTGAAAATCCCACGCTAAAGCAGAGAAAAATACTGCGGGGTAGACTCGGTCGATTTTGCTAGATTAGTAAATTTGTGTTTTTTTAACAGTCTCGGTTTTTATTGTGTCGGACACGCATATTTTTTGCCATATCGTAATTTTCCCATGTATATTATTATTATTTGGTTTTTTTTACCGTTTGTTTTTTACTCTAAGCGCGTTCTATCAATAGTGAACACAACAGTAAGGCCGCTCACGTATTTCTTTGGAATTACTTAAAAAAAAAAATAAACAATATGCGGTTTCTCGCATTGACATATATTTGTTTCCGAGGATCGACGTTAAATAAACCGGATATTTACTGTGATTAAAAATTGCACGTAATTAGCGCGATTAAACACTTGTTTACTACCCGGAAGGATTAGTTTTGTGCGATTATCATATTGTCGAGATGATGGCAGTTTTTTTATCTCTGCTCATTACAACCGGATATTTAATAAAATACTTAGCTTTTACGAGGATCGAAAGATTACTAGTGAAGTCAATCGATTAATCGGTAGAGTTGCTGTATGTAAGGTGCGTAAATCATTGGTGTTTTTTAATTATACAAGTAAATGAAATATATGAAGTATAAATGAAATCATCTATTTATCGACAAGTTTTTAAATATTTATTTCGGGTTAATCGAATACATTTTATTCATTATGATGTATTGTCTTTAAAAAATAAATGCAAAAACACAATAATTAACGACGTGATACAATTATTTGGCCCGTCTGTTATTAATTATTTGTCATATCTGTTTAAAAACCAGTGAAAATCTGGTACGGGCCCTGTGTACATTAAAATAAAAAAAAAAAAAAAGGTTCTTGTATACGAATTGATTTCGTCTTTTTTCTCCTGCCAACGAGCAGTTTTTTATAATGTACGTACTTTTCTCTGAATGCGCATAACTACCGCCGCCGTATAGGTCGCACAGTAAACACATATACCCACACTCGGTCGTCGGGGCGATCACCGAGTGCTGCTGGCGAAACCCGATACTTTGGAACGTCCGCCCGCCGAGGGATGCGAAGCCCTTCGCATTGTCAGTGAGTGTTATTCTCTCTATTTTATTATGTCGTTTCGAGGGTATTCTTCTTTATTCGCCGTCGACAACAATATTATTATTATTATTATTATTATTACTGCCGTGTGGACTATAGCTACCGTATTTTTTCATACCATACGTACGCGCATTATAATGATGCGATAATTCTGCGAATGGTGTACAATGCGAGGAGAAATATAAAGAGATAACGACGGGGGTTTGATGGATGTCGTTGGTGGTGGTGCGCAGGTTCAACAACACACGCGAACCCAGCGGCAGTTGCAATTCAGGTATTGCCGTGTGCCCAGATTATCGTTGTTATTATCAATATTGATATTATTATTTTAGCTAATACGTTTTTTAAACGTCGAATCATTCGATTTGTCGTCACGAGCCGGTTTCCTTCGATAGGTTTGAAAATCAACTAGGACTCGTCCGTCACTCAACACATTTTTTTTAGTGTGGAACTTGTGTCTTATTTTCCTTCGTACTCCCAAGACAACCGAAATTCATCCGCAACATTTTTCATTGTGATATTTCGTGTGCGGGTCGATCGAATCGAAAGTTTCGCGTACAAAGGCTTAATCAGAAGAAATGTTGATGTACTGCCGTGTCCAGTGTGTCGTGCGAAACAGATAGATGACGTTATAGTGTGTTTGACGGCGATCCGGTTTCGAAGAAATTTTTGTGGGTTTTTACTGTTTTCTAGTGAGTTTTTCGTTTGTTTTACTACACATCTTGGCGTATATATAACACGTGTCGGTGAACCGCTGTCTATGCGTTCAAATGCCGGTCTCGAGAGATCGTAACGTCTAATCTAATGGTGATTTATCGACCGGCGAGGACGCCGTGGACAAACCGGTGTGCATCACGTGTTTCGGTGACGGGCGTTTTGAGACGCGGTGTTGTGTAGACCAGCGGGCGGCCAGCGCGTATACTCGTGCGACGAGTTCTTTTTTTTTACCCTTAAAAACAACACGCGACGTCCAAAAGGTCGGCGGCGTGCGATCGATAAAATTCATTTCGACTCGTTTATATTATGGTTATTTATTCCGCGTTGAAACGCGGCGTGGTTACACGGGAGAAAATAAAAAACCCGTTTCGGTCTGCGCGGCCGGTCATCCGAATATAATCTCGAAACCTCTGAAGCGAATACGCGACCGTACGGGATTCGTGTATTGTGTGGACCGCTCCTATGTCGTGTTCGGTCTGGTGAGCGGTGATGACCACCGCGTTGGCCGTTGTCTTCGTCGTCCCGCTATTGTTGTTGTTGTTCTCCTTGTGCGGGTAACGCGATACCGCGCAACGGCCGCCGGCATTACGGTCCACTGCCGCCGTCGTCGATGCCGCGAAGACGACGAGATGCGCCGTCATGCAAAAGTAACGTGCGTACCTTCCATGCGACTTGCACGTGAAATCCAATACCACCTCCTCCAAACACACACCGACGGGGGTGGAGGAGTATTGCAGTCGGTTTTCAAATATCGTGGAGGTAATCGTTTGCCCGGATTACGTAACGTTGGCCGTCGAAATTGATTACGATTTCGTATCACACGATCCGGTTCGAAACGACTGGTATTATCGAGTAGCGCACGATTTATAAAAAAAGTGCCATTTTTTTTTAGGATTACGCGTTCGACAAAAATCAAAAATAATAATACGGATCGCACGACTGAATCGGATTTGTATTTTTCGTAATTGTTTGCCAGCGGTTATTACGCAGCGGAATAGTATTCGAAACCGTGAAAAAAAATGTTGCCGCGTTAAATTGGGGCGGTGGCGACGGATGATTTTATAGAGCCGAACAGCTTTCGTCACAACAATACACACACGACGAACGCGAGGGATAAAAAAATCGAAAGGCGCTGTACGATATCGTCTTGGGGCTTGGAGCGTATTCGTTTTGCCCGGCGAAGTAGTCTCGTGGAACGTCGTGTACACGACAGAGTCGATGTGACAACGGAGTTCGCACAACTTTTAGCCGTATGGTATTGACGTATCGCGTTACAAGCGCGTATACGGTTTTATATATGAAAAGTACGCCAACGAAGGGTTAGTGGAGTAAAAGGGAAAGAGCAGAGTGACAGCAGTTCACTGAACGCGCGCGCGTGTCGCAGCAGATCTAATAACGTCATTGCAAAACAACGTTTTCGCTGGATATTTTCAATAAGCGACCAAAGTCGTCGTCCGAAACTCGATGGACACATTTTCTCATTTCAAGTTCATCGTCAATCTGTTTTCTTTTCTCCGGTCACAGAGACTTTTAATTAGAAACGTCACTCTCGTCGTATTATTATTTTTTATTTTTTTGCACGTATAAATTAACATGATGCGAATTGTGGTGTTTGATGAAGCGTCAGTCGACCGATGACTTGTTGCGCTAATAAATAAAAGCGGGCGCAATAAGTTTAAACGTCAAATCGCAGTCGGTAAGGTCTGAGTCGAGAGTAGCCATTGAATTCATACGAGGTGTTGAAAGGACGTCATCCGACCGGTACGATTTATTGTAGTGCTTGAAATTTGAATACTCGTTCGTATATTACGTTCACCCTTTACAACATAATCGCATAATTATATCAGTGTGGTGTTTGTTGTAAAAAGAGGGCGGCACGAATGAAACCGACAAACGATTTTGTTAATTAAATAGTCGACGACGAGGACTCTAGGGAACAATAGAAACGTTGTATT